CATAGTGCGTTTACATGGGGTACCTCGTACCATTGTTTCTGATAGGGATGTAAGGTTCCTTAGCTACTTTTGGAAAACTTTGTGGTGTAAACTAGGGACTAAATTGCTTTTTTCTACTTCTAGTCACCCACAAACTGATGGACAAACTGAAGTGGTTAATCGGACTTTATCTACATTGTTGCGAGCAATTATTAAAAAGAACATTAAATCTTGGGAAGATTGCTTGCCTCATGTTGAATTTGCATATAATCGCACTGTGCATACTTCTACTCAATTTTCACCTTTTGAAATTGTTTATGGATTTAACCCTCTCACACCTTTAGACTTGTCTCCTTTACCTATTTCTGAGAGAGTTAACCTAGATGGTAAGAAAAAGGCTGAGATTGTGCGGGATTTGCATACCAAAGCTAGAGCTAATATTGAGAAACGTACCCTTCAATACATTCAAAGTGCCAACAAGGGACGTCGCCAGATGGTGTTTGAACCAGGTGATTGGGTTTGGATACACATGAGAAAGGAGCGTTTTCCAAACCAAAGGCGCAACAAACTACTTCCACGGGGTGATGGACCATTTCAAGTTGTGGAGCGCATCAATGACAATGCCTACAAACTTGACCTTCCAGGTGAGTATGGAGTACATGCTACATTCAATGTGGCTGACTTGAGTCCTTTTCATGCAGATGACGAGCTTGATTTGGGGACAAATCGCCTACAAGAGGAGGGGATTGATGAGGGGCTCAAGGCTGGTCAAACACAAGTTGCCCAAGTCATTCAAGTACCAAGTGGTCCAGTCACAAGAGCTCGTGCCAAGAAGATGCGTGAATCTTTACAAGCCCTTGTGAGTACAATCCAAGGCCGCATTGGAGATGATTTAAAGATTATTGAAGGCTTGGAGAATGAAGATTCAAAACTTTACACATTGCTCCAAGTAGAAGACCCTCCAGCGCCTGTTGCTAGTTAGGCGTGTCCTCACCTAGTGGTCACGCTTAAGGAAGAGTTAAGCTAGTTCTATTATTTATCTTTTTATAGTTAAATATTAGTTAAAGTCAGTCCATTAAACTCTTAGGGCTGGCCGAATCCTTGTCATTAATTAGTAGGGTTAGTTTAGTCAATTTTGGGATTAGGGTTAATGCTTGTAAAGGCTATAAATAGCCTTACTTCCTCCTTGTTAAGGGATCGAGAAATTACATTATATTTGTGAGTTTATTCACTTTTCTCTTCCAAGAGAGCTTTGCTTGAATACTTGAGAGTTTTTCTTGAGTTATTCAACTTGAACTTATCAACCAAGTATACACCTTGATTGTGGCGTTCTTCTATCCAGATCGTTGGTTCACTAAATCGTTAGTTGTTGGGTTGAGATTCATCTTAGTTCATCAATTCGGGGTTTAGAGGGGTCATACGTGCCGCCGTTCCAACTTGATTGTTCGTCTAGATCCGCGCATTCATATCAGAACCGGCAAGGATGGAAGTGCTTGGATTTGAAGCTTGCCCAAGGAAGTTCCATGGCTGCATGGTTAATTTGAGATGGAGAAAGGCTAATTTGGTCTTTTAACATCTTGTCCGACCTTCCACTTAAGTCCTCATTCGTAATCCAATTCCAAAATTTTACCCCAAATGAAAATTGATAGCCTACTAGTATACTAATCTCGTAAAAATTCAATTATCGAGATTTTAACGTCCTAAGTGAAATTATAAAGGTTTTGACCTAAAAAATCGATTTCGTCTTAATTCTAGGTTCCCGTTGACACTTAACATTATTAGCACTTAAGATTAGCTATCGGAATTCATAGAATTAATATTAAAGTATTAAAATAATCTATATCAAGAAATATTAATTTAACTTAGCAAAAATCAAATAATATAATATTTTGCACAATTAAATTATTTGTAATCTAAAAATTATTTTTACATACTTATTTAAGAACAAATAATAATAAAATTTATTAAAAGTCTAAAATGCGAATGCAATATGTATATATATATATATTTTTTTTATTATTATTTTTTTCAAGGTTCTCACATCCTCCCCCCCTTAAATGAATTTTGTCCTCAAAATTCTCACCTTCTAAAGAAATAATTCAGGGTATTTTCTCTGCATATCCTCTTCTAGTTCCCAAGTTGCCTCCTCTATTCCATGATTTCTCCATAGGATTTTCACCAAAGGAATTTTCTTACTTTTCAAAAATCCTAACTGGTCCTTCCTCATAAGTTAACGACTCATCCACCTCAATTTCTTCCAATTGCAACACATGGCTTGGGTCGGGGTGATATTTCTTGAGCATAAAAATATGAAATACATTGTGAATCTTGGCCATGCTTGCAGGCAATCTCAACTGATACGCCACTTTACCGATTTGTTTCAAAATTTCAAAAGGTCCAATATACCTCGGCTTTAGCTTCTTACCCTTTTTGGACACTACTCTGCCCTTCAAGGGTTTAACTCTTAGGAAAACTTTGTCTCCTACTTCGAACTCCAAATCTTTTCTCCTTGTGTCGGCGTAGCTCTTTTGTCGACTTGGGCAGTTTGAAGCCTTTCTCTAATTAGTTTCACTTTCTCATGAGTTTCTTCCATCCAAGGTATAGCCGTTGGGTCTAAAATTTTCTTCTCTCTCACTTCATCCCAATGAATCAGAGATCGACACCTTCTCCCATACAATGCCTCATAAGGTGCCATTTGAATTGAAGCGTGATAACTGTTATTATAAGCAAATTCTACTAAGGTCATATACTGACTCCATTTAGCTCCAAAATCCAATATACACGACCTCAGCATATCTTCCAAAGTCTGAATTGTCCTTTCTGACTGCCCGTCTGTTTGGGGATGATAAGCAGTACTAAATTTTAACTTGGTCTCCAATATCTCTTGAAATTTCTGCCAGAACCGTGAAACAAATCTTGGATCTCGATCAGACACAATGCTTATAGGGATACCATGCAATCTCATGATCTCTTCTGTGTACAACTTGGCCATTTTCTCCAAAGAAAAGCTCATACTCACAGGTAGAAAATGTGCAGATTTGGTAAGCCTGTCAACTATCACCCAAACCGCATCAAATCCTTTTTGACTTCGAGGCAATCCCATTACAAAATCCATGGTTATGTGTTCCCATTTCTATTCGGGAATTTCTAGTGGCTGTAATAAACTAGAGGGTTTCTGATGTTCAGCTTTTACTTATTGGCATATCAAACATTTCTGTACAAGTTCTGCCACGTCCTTTTTAAAACCGTCCCACCAGTATAACTTTTTCACATCGTGATACATTTTGTTCACTCCTGGGTGTATAGTATACCTCGATCAATGTGATTCTTCTAGAATTTCTCTCCTTAACCCTTCATCAACCGGAACCACAATTCGATCTCGAAATCTTAACATTCCTTCAGACCCTAATTTAAAGTCTAGGTTTTCTCCTTTTTGCATTTTCTCCAAATTTTTCTGGATTATAGGGTCCGTTTTCTGTGCCTCCTTAATACGCTCCAATAATGGTGACTTCAATGACAAGTTCCCAAATAAAATCTTCAATCTTTCCAAGCGAGGGTTCCAAGTACTAACCTCTTCTAACATGTCCTATTCTTTTACCATTAACCCCGCTACTTGGGTTTTTATACTTAGAGCGTCTGCTACCACGTTGGGTTTTCCTGGGTGGTAGTTGATTGAACAATCATAATTTTCTAAAAATTCTACCCACCGCCTCTGTCTCAAATTCAATTCCTTTTGGGAGAACAAGTACTTAAGGCTCTTGTAGTCCGTATAAACTTCAAAGGTCACACCATACAAGTAATGCCTCCATTTCCTTAAGGCAAAGACCACTGCGGCCAGTTCTAGGTCATGCGTTGGGTAATTTTGTTCATGAGGTTTCAATTTTCTAGAGGCATAGGCAACTACCTTACCCTTTTGCATTAGTACGCATCCTAGACCTTCCCTAGAGGCATCAGAGTATACGACATAACTTTCTACTCCGTCAGGCAATGCCAAAATAGGAGCTGATGTTAAGCGCTTCTTTAACTCCTGAAAGCTTAACTCGCACTTTGGAGTCCAAATGAACTTATTATTTTTCTTTGTCAGCTCTGTCATAGGTCCAGCAATCTTCGAAAAGTCCTTGATGAACCGCCTGTAATAACCTGCTAAGCCCAAGAAACTTCTAACCTCTGTTGGAAATCTGGCTGCTTCCACATTGTGACCGTCTCAACTTTTGCCGGATCCACGGCATTCCATCTTTAGAAACTTTGTACCCAGAAAAGAAATTTCTTCCAGCCAAAACTCGCACTTGCTAAATTTAACATACAATTTATGCTCTCTTAAGATCTGCAGCACTGCCTCCAAGTGTTTAGCATGTTCTTCTCGAGTCTTAGAATATACTAGGATATCATCAATAAAAACTACTACAAACTGATCCAAGTACTTTTTAAAGACTCTCTGCATTAAGTCCATGAAGGCAGCTGGTGCATTGGTTAATCCAAATGGCATGACTGCAAACTCAAAATGTCCATATCTTGTATTGAACGTAGTCTTGGGTATGTCTTCCTTCTTAATTTTCAACTGATAATACCCTTGCCTCAAATCCAGCTTGGAGAAAACTACTGATCCTTGCAGCTGATCGAATAAGCTGTCAATCAATGGTAGAAGGTATTTCTTTTTAATTGTAACTTCATTTAATCCTCGATAATCAATACATAACCTCAAACTTCCGTCCTTTTTCTTAACAAATAGAACGGGTGCTTCCCATGGCGAATCACTTTCTCTAACAAAACCTCTCTCCAATAAATCCTGTAATTGAATTTTCAATTCTTTGAGCTCTGCAGGTGCCATTCAGTACAGAGTCTTAGAAATCGGAGCCGTTCCTGGCACTAGTTCAATCTTGAACTCCACTTCTCTCTTTGGAGGTAATGTTTTTAATTCTTCAGGAAAAACATCCGGATATTCCCTTACTACTGGCACATCTTCCAACTTTACTTGGTCACTGGGAGCGTTAATCAGGAAGGCTAAGAAACCTTGCGCTCCTTTATACAACATTTTTCTTACTCGAATTCCCGAAATCATAGCAGACGATGCTAATCTGCCCCTTCACATCTAACTTCAGGGTGGCTTCCCGGGGAATCCAAAATTCTAACATTTTTGCTCTACAATCAAGCTTAGCATGGTAATAAGCAAGGAAATCCATTCCTATAATAACATCATAACCTTTTATGTCCAAACTGACTAGATCTACTAGCATCCTACGCTCTCCAATCCAGAATTCGCAGTTCTTATAGGTCAGGCTAGTGATTATGCTCTTATTACCCATGGGTGTCCTAACTTCAAGATCAAAGGGTAATATAACAGGTTTTACATCAATTCTGGACATAAAAGTTGAATTCACAAATGAATGAGTTGCGCCAGGATCAATTAGTACTCTAACTAATCGGTGAAAGATTGGAAGAGTACCTTTCACGACTTCTGAGGAATCAGGTACGGTTTGGTCGTCTATGGCGTACACCCTGGCAGGAACTTTCGGCCTACTTCCTCCCGAAGTGGCTTGTCTAGCACTCTGGGTACCACCTTCTTGTGTTTTCGGACAACCGGCAATCTGGTGCTCGCTGCTTCCGCACCTCAAGCACTTTCCTTCTTTCCTCCAGCATCCATCCTCGGTATGGCCAGCTTTCCTGCAGTACCCACAAGTTACCTGAGGGGTTGTCACACGACCTCCTTGCGAGGCGTTCCTAGGTTGACCCCTTCCACTTGGTCCTCCTCTAGCTCCGATATCTCTTCCCCCGGTACCTCTTGCCCCAGTTCCTCTCGCTAGAGCGCCTCGTGGTGCTCCAGGACTATTTACTCCACCCATTCCTCGACCCACTTTGGCCGGTGAAGCATTTGCATAAGTCGGCTCCCGACTGCTGCTAGGGGCAAATCTTTTCTTGGTCTGGAAAGATTTTACTTGAGCTCTAGCAACTTCAACCCTTTGAGCTCTCTCTACAGCATCAGCAAATGTATCTATCCAAACAGCAGCTAATCCCTCTTGGATCTCCACGTTTAGTCCCTGCACAATTCTCCTTATACGCCTTTGCTCCGTGGCTACCAATTCAGGAGCAAAACGGGACAATTTCGTGAATTGAATCTCATATTCGGCGACACTCACCACCCCCTGCCTACACTTGATGAAGTCATCCTCTCTTTTATCTTGGATGAGAGGGGGAAGAAACTTGGCGTTGAACTCCCTTGTGAAGTTCGTCCAGGTCCTAGGAATATGGTTCCTGTCCCAATTAACCCTAACTAGGTTCCACCAGGAATGAGCAGCTCTCTCAAACTGGAACGCTGCGAAAGTCACTTGTCTCTCCTCCGCATAATTTAGAGCTGCAAAAATGTCAGAGATCCTCTCCCACCAACCTTCTGCTACCTTAGGTTCTGGTCCTCCATAAAACTTTGGAGGTCCAAACTACAAGAATCTCTCTAATGCCCGATCCTCAGTATCGATTGGGCCTCCTTGGTGATGCACCGGTCCAAGAGCTTGGTGTTCAGTCATGCGCTCTAAGACATCAGTTATTCTATTGATCGCGGTGGCCACTGGGTCTCCTGCCACGCCCTCTTGACCACGGTCTTGATTGACCTCAAGTTCCCTATCACCACCAACCTCGGGGTGTTGTCTAGTTGATCTCCCACGTTCTCTACCTCTAACTTGTCGATCCATAGCCTAATTATGGCTATTGATAAAAAGGAAGCGATTAAGCGAGGATATTTTAATTAATATTTTTTTTAAAAATAACATCAACATGAACATTGAGGAAAAGGAAAATAAAACACTTAACATATATTCACATACCAAGGTTCATACATATAACAAGTTAGGGTGCTTTCCAAAAGTATGGCACACAAGTTTAACAAATATATACAGACAACCTCTTAAACCAAAAATAGGGATGTAATGCCTCAAAAGTAGGCCATCTAGTTAGACAAAATGTTATGACCTAAACTAGTGTCACCCTAACTAACCCTGAATACCTAGTTACAAGCAAATCAAACCTAGTCTAACCCTCAGCAGGGCTGCCAGGGGCAACGTCCTCCTCAGGGTCCTCCTCCAGGTCCTCCCCAACACTCGCCTGAGCAGTACCCTGAATGATACCCATGACCTCGTCTATCATCATAGTGGCGTCAGCCATGATACCAGCACTCCTATCTCGTACCTCCTCAGCTACTCGAGTCAACCGAGACCTCTGTCTCTCTAACTCCTCACGAGCAGCCTCTGACCTAACCCTCTCGGCTGCTAACCTCTGCTCTAGATCAGCTATGCGGTCAAGCTGAGTATCAACCATGATGCTCAACTCCTCAACATCCTGGGTCAAAGTGTGATTAGTGTCCCTCAATTGGCGACGCTCGTCGTCTAAAGACAGCACTAACTCATTAGGATAGGCATATGTGACCCTACACTGACATCGGGGGTACCTATCAGCTGGTGCATAACGTATACGAGATCCTCTGCCTCGTGGCCTATAGGAGATGGACCTAAGAGGCTCTACATGTCCATTAGCCAATCCGTTACCATTAGCATGTCCGTTTCCATTTTCCATACCTACAAAATAACCAAAATCCAAAGGTTAATGCTTAAATAGCTAGCTTGCTCAAATACTACTTAAGATATGTCTAATTATCTCACTTCTTATCTCTAAGAGGTTCAGGGTTTCTAACACATCTAATATATCTTTCAAATAACTTTTCTAACCTAGGCTCTGATACCAACTGTGACGGCCCCACTTCTCCCTAAGGTGAACCAGAGGGTTGGCGAGTCGCTTGCCTGGCTCTCGCCAAGACTCACGCAAGCAAACTGGCTAAACCCTTCCGATGTATAACTTAAACCAAAACAAAATTCGCCACCCGAACAAGCCAATCCTTAAAACGACCAAAATACTAAGAACACATTAACTTCAGAGATAACATTACCATTGGACAACCGAACATCCACTCTTAAGTACACCTCCAATCAATTTAAAACATAACTACATTTATTACAAACCACAAAGTGAAGTCATAAAATTCAAATACATTCATACAAGTCAAACAAAACTCAGGTTTTGCACTTTTCTAGCTTCAAGTGGCAACCCAAGCCGAAAGATACATAGTCTGATTCAAAACAACATTCATAAAAGGTAAAGGCAGACTTCAGGTCTCTCAAATGCCAGAACCTGTTCAGGAAAACAAGTAACGTGAGGTGACCTGAAACTCAGTGGTGCCCCAAACATGCATTCATATAAAACAAGTAGCAAATAATAGTTTCAAACTAAATTCAACAAGTATGAAAGCGTATAACAGCACAGGGTAGGATACAGGGCTTTCAGGAGCCATTCTCCCCGAGCTTGATCAAAATTGATTGCAGTTGACTCTCCGTCAACTCTCACTATCTAAGGTCCAAGTAGATTTTTTTTTTCTTATCACGCTCCGACCAACTTACTCCCACCGGGCCCGTTCTTCTCATGAGAGAGTTTGGTATTACTCGAGTATACCTTTTTATAGCCTAGTTGAGGGATTCACCCCACGGCATCACAACAAGTGGTTACCAAGTCAGGATAAGAGGCCCTCCCACCCTAAGGTGTGGTACATTCCCCTGCCTGGTGGATTAGTTGATGAGTCCACGCTCCAATCAACAGTTACAAGGTTTTTGGTACTTGAGTTAGGATAAGAGGCCCTCCCACCCTCAGGTGTGGTACATTCCCCCACTCAGTACTTAACTAGTGCAAGCAAGATCTCGAGAAAACATTTCAAGCAAATCACCACTCGAAAGGGCCAGTGCGATAAAGTACACACTGCCCACTTCGATGGATCAGGAAAACCACATTCCAATTATCACATAACAGTCAAGAAAGCACTTTAACAAGTTAATCATAGAACAAGCACGGACACTCACCAAAAGTGAAGCTCAAAAGTCAAGCTGGGAATCGAAGTCCACGTCCTCGCTAAACCCTAAAAGACCAAGTTTTAAAACTATAAGTTTTACTATACAAGTTCTTGATTTATATATGAAAGATTATCCGATATATAACTAGTTTATCTTCTTAAAATAAATCCACAACTCTCTTAGAATTAAAACTAGTAAAAGTGATAAAGTGTTTCGTATGGTTTCTTTAAAGGTATTTTCTTTCTAGAGATGCAAACTAGAACCCACTTACTTCAAATAAGGTTTCTTGCCGAACAAGTTTTCTACGCCTTTCATTTAAAGTTATTAAAATCTCATGTTTTTGACAATTTTCCTCTAAAACAACTAGCCAGGGACAAATTTACGAAAAATCTAGCGTTTGGAAGTTAGTGCAATTATTTCCTAAAAATAATAAGGCTAGTTTAAGCAAAGGAAAGAATTAACTAGTTGGCAAGGTTTTAAAAGAAAAAATCCCGACACTCGAATTTTAGCATTATCGTACTATACTCAATTTCTATAGCTTGATACTAGGACAAAATATATCAACAAAGCATGCTTTAAAGGTACTCGAGTTCAAAGGACCTAAACAGACTTCACGATTCCAATTCACTTGCACATTATATTCCAATTTGCCAATATAGTAAAATCACAATTCAAACATCAATTTCACTAGGGCTTCATCAATCATTAGCCCTAGGTCTTAACAAGTTCAATTCTAATAAAAAATTCAACAAAGGAGGTCCCCATCAAAACAATTCCAAACCACAAGTCATGGACTTTCCAAGTGCATTTCGGCCAAATCACTTAAATGATTCCACCAAAAATTTAACTCTTGTAAAAATTTACTCAAATGGCCAAGAGTTTCATCAATCATTAGCTCTTGGCATCAAACAATCACTCCTTACAACAAATCAACCAAAAATTTAACCCAAAACATAAAGGAGAGTCACGGCTAGCTTAACTCACAAGTAACTCTAGAAATTCAGATTTTTTTTATCCACGGCTCAATCAGCAACATGCAAGACCAAATAACTAATTAACTATCAGTTTTAATCCAAAACCAGATTCGGACATCATAAAAAAAAAATCATCAACCAACCAGAATTTCATCCAAGGCTTCTCGATTGGCTTGCATGCAAGCAGATTCTGCACCACTTCTATTTCCTTGCTTAATCAAGGCTGCTTAACCTTATGCAAAGCTTAATCATCCAGTTTTTAGTTAGCTAAACACACATCTAAGCTCAGATCACCTCAAATTAACAAATTAAAGCTGCATTTCCCAGCTCAATCTCTCGGCAATTCCCATTTTCTTCACAATCAGATTTTCCTGTGACTTAAATCATCATCCAACTACCCAACCATCACATGCATGCTCATAAACAACTTTATCTACCTATAATTAACTGGTCTAAGTCCAGAATTTACCTCAACTTGAAGCTCAACTCACGCGACAAGCAGTTGCAATTTTTTCTCTCCTCTCGGCTTGCTAAGGAACTCGGTTATGGCTGGTCTGAGCTCAGTTAGTGCAGGCTATGGTGTTGGTTGTTGGGGTTGATTGCAACTGGTTGAAGATGAGGAAGGAAATGGATAGCATGGCAGTGATGGAGGAGATGAAGATAGATAGCTCGCACACTACCTCTTGCTCTCTCTCTCCCTCGGACAGTTCAGAAATGCAGCTCACCGACTCTCTCTCCCTTGCTCAAGCTTACAAACAAAATGGAGGAAGTGTTGGCTCTCGGTCCTCTTCACCAGCTTACGGATGGGATGGAGAAAGAACAGCAAGGCTCTCTCTTTTCTTTCTAGCTTACGGACAGAGAGAAAGAGAAATAAAGAGCTCGGCTTCCTCTCTCTCTCACTTCACTCTCGGTTCACGGCAGGAGAAGGAAATGGAAATGGGGTGTTGTGGTGAATTGGAGTTGATGTAGTGGAGTGTGTGTAGTGGGGATGAGCCGGTAGTAGGGAAGGTTGAGTGTTGATGTGGAGAATGGAACCGGCAAGGATGGAAGTGCTTGGATTTGAAGCTTGCCCAAGGAAGTTCCATGGCTGCATGGTTAATTTGAGATGGAGAAAGGCTAATTTGGTCTTTTAACATCTTGTCCTACCTTCCACTTAAGTCCTCATTCATAATCCAATTCCAAAATTTTACCTCAAATGAAAATTGATAGCCTACTAGTATACTAATCTCGCAAAAATTCAATTATCGAGATTTTAACGTCCTAAGTGAAATTATAAAGGTTTTGACCTAAAAAATTGATTTCGTCTTAATTCTAGGTTCCCGTTGACACTTAACATTATTAACACTTAAAATTAGCTATCGGAATTCAAAGAATTAATATTAAAGCATTAAAATAATCTACATCAAGAAATATTAATTTAACTTGGCAAAAATCAAATAATATAATAAAAATTATTTGTAATCTAAAAATGATTTTTACATACTTATTTAAGAACAAATAATAATAAAATTTATTAAAAGTCTAAAATGCGAATGCGAATGCGAATGCAAAAGTCTAATATTAATTTTTCTTTACATTCAGAAGATAATTGAGAAAATCAAATTCTTTTTTCTGTATTTTCTTCATCCTCAAAATTTTCTTGTAAATATTTATGATTTATTTTATACTCTTTATGTGACGGCCCCACCTCCCCCTAAGGCGAACCAGAGGGTTCGGCGGGCCGCCTGCCCAACTCTCGCCGGGACTCAGTCGATCACTACAATCCTCAAATGAATTACAATATAAATCTCAAATATACATCACATGGTCCACAAACATACATCCAAG